TGTCCGCTCCCTTGTGGCTGAGCTGGTAAAGAATTCGCCTGCAGTGTGAGAGACCTAGGTTTGATCTGGGTTGGGAAGATCCCCTGGAGAATGGGAAGGCTACCACTCCAGTACTCTGACCTAGAGAATTCCATGGACAGAGGAGCCTGGCAGGCTATAGTCCATGGGGTCATGACTGAGCAACTTTCACTTCCTTCCTTCACTTCAGCACCTGTGAGCAGATGACTTAACCTGTCGATTCTCGTTTTATACATCTGTAAAATGGGGGTTGTAATATGTCATAGGGCTGTCAGCAGAATAAACTCAGGGAGTCAGAGTAGAGTGTCAGACACGAGGTTGGTGTTTGGTCAGGAGAGCCTTTCCTTCTCCACCACGTGCCCTGCCAACCTGTGGGACATGTGGTATCTGGAGCAGCACAGAGCTGGGCCGTCAGCCTCGGTTGGCCAAAGTTTCTCAGTGCACCTGAGTAGGCAGAGCCCAAGGTTGCTGCCTCCTCTGAAGAGCATATGGAACCTAGGAGAGGCCAGTGCCCAGCGTTGCAGCCACAGTCAGCATGTTTGTTCTGGAGAGAACATCTGGCACACCCCCTGCCACCAGTCCCTACACCCAGCTTCCCCATCACGATCTCATTGACTTCATCCTGATTCTGTCCGTCCCTTCTGCCATTGGTCTTACCTACCCAGCTTTTCCCTGGTGCCAGAGCTTCACTGTTTCCAACAAAAAAAACTTCATAGCATGGCCAGACAACTTGCAATTTTCCACATGTGTACTCTCTATGGAAGCCCCAGCTGATCCTGCTAATGCCTTCCCACTGTTGCAGGCACATTTGTAACCATTTGCCAGTAGTCACTGAACATTTCCTTTGTGGGGCATATCTCTCACAGTGTGGGGTACCATGTCTTCCTGAAAAATCATGGGGAAATACAATATTGACACATGGAATTTTTCATCAATTTCCCACTGATTTTAGGTGCCTGTCTTCTTTTGGGCTTGCCAGGTGGCACTGGTGGTAAAGAACTTGTCTGCCAATGCAGGAGACATAAGAGACATGGATTCAATCTCTGGGTTGGGAAGACTTCTGGAGGAGGGCATGGCAATCCACTCTAAAATTCTTGCCTGGAGAATCCCATGGACAGAGGAGCCTGGTGGGCTAGAGTCCATGGGGTCACAAAGAGTCAGACACAATTGAACCAACTTAGCACTCATGTACATTTCTGTTTTGAGTGGTCCATAGTTAAAAGTGGCAGCATCTGGCATGGGTGGACAAAATGCTTCCTGCTAAAGCTGAGGTCAGGAAAAAAATCCTTTCATGGTAATACTAGGTCCAGATCAGAATAGGAAAAATGCTGTTCTGCAAGTCAGGAGACCTGGTTTTTGTCCCAGCCAGGCTATAAACTAACAGAGGCAACTTATTTCACCCTCTGGGCCTCAGTTTCCATAGCCACATAAAGATCAGGTTATCAGACTAGGTCGGGTTGGCAAATTTTTTCTGCAGAGGGCCAAGTAGTAAATATTTTTGGCTTTGCAGGCCACATGACATTGTTGCAACTACCCACCTCTGCTGCTATAGCCTGGAAGCAGCCTTGGACAGCACAGAAAGGAATGGGCAGGGCTGTTGGGGGAGGGCCCAGGTGGAAGGCTGGATTTGGCCTGTGGCCAGTCTGCAAACCGCTAGATCAGGGGTCCCCGACCTCCAGGATCTAGTGCCTGATGATCTGAAGTGGAGCTACTGTAATAGTAATAGAAATAAAGCCTGCGATAAAGCACTTGAATCATCCCCAAACCATCCCTCCCACCCACTCACCCCAGTCCATGGAAAAGTTGTCTTCCACGAAACTGGTCCCTGGTGCCAAAAAGATTGGGGACCACTGCACTAGAAAAGCTTACCAGTTCTCCAGTTCTGAAATACTGAGTCAGACATATTCATAGCCCCATCTCATTTCCACCAACCCTCTTGTTTGGGGCTTACATCCATCATCTTACAGTTTTGAGGCCGTTTTCCCGTGGAAGTGTGACCAAAGTTGTTTTAGGTGGTCTTCGAACTGAGAATACACCAGTTGCCTTCATGTTCTTTAGAGCAGGGAACTAGCACTCATTCTAGAACGGGTTGATTACCTGCTCCTCAGGCGCTGTGCTGTGCACTTTCTGTCCCTTCATCCTCAAGATGATCTGGAAGGGAGATGTGTCATTGCCTATTTTAGAGATGACATCACCAGGGGGTGATGGAGCCTGTGCAGTGCCCAGCAGCAAATCAGCTTCAGAGGCAGAGGCAGATCCCCACAGATTGTATTTTGTTCTTCCCTAGGCTGCTGTTCTTTAGATGCAAACCTCACTTTTCAGTTACCTTACAGGGGTCCCTCTGTATCCACAAGGGACTGGTTGCAGGACGCCCCACAGATAACAAGATCCACGGATGCTGGAGTTGATTATTATAGAAGGGCGGAGTACCCTTTTATATAAAAAAGGGTATATACAGATCTTCCGCATCTGTGGAATCGGGTCTGTGGTGGGTTGAATCTGTGGATGCCAACCCCACCAGTAGGAAGAGCTGACTGTACTCCACCCTTTTATCTAATGACTTGAGCACCCATGGATATTGATATCTGCAGGGTGTCCTGAAACCAGTACCCTGGTACGTATCAAGGGATCAATGTATACTATTGATTATTTTTAGGGAATTGCACTCATGTGCTAATTTACCTTTATTTTTTGCTTTTTAACTATAAAGGTAATACATGCTTATAGTAAAAAATACAAATGGACCAGAAGGATATAAAATGACAGCATTTTTCCCTCTGGCATCATCCTTCATTTCCATTCCTTGCCACTAATCACTGTTCATTGTGACCATTTCCTGTGTATCAGAGCACAGTGTTCCATTTTCATTTTGTTTATTCAGCCAAACCCTAGGAGTCCACAAAGACTCTTAGAGGTTATTTCCAGTCTTTAGGGTTTTTTGGTTTTTGTTTTTGTTGCTTTATCAAATAATAATGCAACTAATGATTCCTAAGCAGTAGATTTTTAGATCAATGGTATGGACATTTAAAATGTTGACAAATACTATCAAGTGTTTCCCCTAAAAGCCTTTGCCAGTTTGTAGGAAGTGAGCTGTTTTCCAACACCCTTGATAATTTGGTTATGTCAAACTTTTAGGTTGTGTTAGTCTAGTCACTTTAATCTGCATTGTTAAAATTATAATGAAGATTGAGCAGCTTTTCATGGGTTTCTTGGCCTTTATTTTGCTGTCGATCTATTCATATCCTTTGCATAACTTATTCATTTGTTCATTTCAAATTATCCCCTTTGTATGTAAATCATTTGTGTTGCAAATCATCCCCTCGTTGGGTTTTTTGTTCAGGGGGGCTGTGCTGGGTCCTCGCTTTTCTCCAGTTGTGGCAGTTTGCAGGCTTTTCTCTAGTGGTGGCAGCGAGCGGGGGCTCCTCTCTAGTTACGGGCACGGGCTTCTCATTGCAGTGGCTTCTCTTCTTGCAGAGTCTGGGCCCTAGACCACCCGAGCTTCAGTGGTTGCAGCTTGCAGGCTCTAGAGTACAGGCTTAGTGGCTGTGGTGCGCTGGCCTAGCTTAGTCGTTCCATGGCGTGTGGGATCTTCTCAGACCAGGGATCAAACCTGTGTCTCCTGCATTGGCAGGTGGATTCTTTACCACTGAGCCACCAGGGAAGCCCTCCAGTTAGTCTTTTAATTTTAAGGGCATCTTTTTTTGGTTGTACAGTAATTAATAGTGATGATGTAGATTTTTTTAGTCTTTTCCTTCATGGCTATTTGGGATTTGTATTATGCTTAGCAAGGCCTTTCCCACTTGAAGAATATTTTCTAAAAATTCATAAATGAATGTATTTTCCATATTGGCCCACCTCCATCCTGTCCGGTAATATTTCTTCTCAGGGCCTCCCACCTCCACTTATTCAATAAAGCAGGGACCGCCATGACTAACTAAAGGCCCTTTCCATCTTGCAGAAGCAGATGAGAGCTGAAGAGGCAAAAGTTGTTCAAGAAAAAGCTGCAAAGATCAAAGAATGGGTAACGCTGAAATTAACAGAAGTGAGTTACAAGCAGGTCTGGGAACACCTGGGAGGAACCTAAAAGCCTTTGCCAGTTTGTAGGAAGTGAGCTGTTTTCCAACACCCTTGATAATTTGGTTATGTCAAACTTTTAGGTTGTGTTAGTCTAGTCACTTTAATCTGCATTGTTAAAATTATAATGAAGATTGAGCAGCTTTTCATGGGTTTCTTGGCCTTTATTTTGCTGTCGATCTATTCATATCCTTTGCATAACTTATTCATTTGTTCATTTCAAATTATCCCCTTTGTATGTAAATAATTTGTGTTGCAAATCATCCCCCCGTTGGGTTTTTTGTTCAGGGGGGCTGTGCTGGGTCCTCGCTTTTCTCCAGTTGTGGCAGTTTGCAGGCTTTTCTCTAGTGGTGGCAGCGAGCGGGGGCTCCTCTCTAGTTACGGGCACGGGCTTCTCATTGCAGTGGCTTCTCTTCTTGCAGAGTCTGGGCCCTAGACCACCCGAGCTTCAGTGGTTGCAGCTTGCAGGCTCTAGAGTACAGGCTTAGTGGCTGTGGTGCGCTGGCCTAGCTTAGTCGTTCCATGGCGTGTGGGATCTTCTCAGACCAGGGATCAAACCTGTGTCTCCTGCATTGGCAGGTGGATTCTTTACCACTGAGCCACCAGGGAAGCCCTCCAGTTAGTCTTTTAATTTTAAGGGCATCTTTTTTTGGTTGTACAGTAATTAATAGTGATGATGTAGATTTTTTTAGTCTTTTCCTTCATGGCTATTTGGGATTTGTATTATGCTTAGCAAGGCCTTTCCCACTTGAAGAATATTTTCTAAAAATTCATAAATGAATGTATTTTCCATATTGGCCCACCTCCATCCTGTCCGGTAATATTTCTTCTCAGGGCCTCCCACCTCCACTTATTCAATAAAGCAGGGACCGCCATGACTAACTAAAGGCCCTTTCCATCTTGCAGAAGCAGATGAGAGCTGAAGAGGCAAAAGTTGTTCAAGAAAAAGCTGCAAAGATCAAAGAATGGGTAACGCTGAAATTAACAGAAGTGAGTTACAAGCAGGTCTGGGAACACCTGGGAGGAACCTGTGTGGGGTTGCTCTGGTCCCCCTGTGTTTTTCTGCTTCCATCTGTATTCGGGGTCTTGCCTGCCTTTCATGTTGTTAACCATTTGTCCCTCCCTCAGCTTAGATGCAAAGACACTTCACTTTCCCCTTCCTGTTGTCAAGGTTGGGTTTCCCTGGAGCTCCTGGTTAGCTCTGTGACTGGGGAGAAGGAAGGATTTTCCCTTCTGAGAAGTCCCATCAGTTTCCCTCTGAGAAGCACACATGGTCCTTACCATCCACCCTCTGTCCTCACCATTCTTTTTAACTGTCTTTTTTTTTTTATGGTCAGATATACAAAGTGTACCATTTGAGGTATCTTTAAAGTGTACAATGCAGTGGAATTAAGTACATTCACAGTGATGTGTACGCATCACCATCATTTCCAAAATTCTTCATCACCCCAGACAGAAACTGTACCATTAATCACTAACTCCCCATTGTCTCTGTTCTACTTCCACCATCTCTTTTCTCTGTCCACCTCTGTCCCTCTCTTTTCATAGTTTCATTACTTGCTACAGCTTTGTTTAGGGAACTCAGGACTAGAAGCTATAGCACTGTGAAAAAAAAAGAAAAGCTCTAAACAAAAGGAAAGGGAATTAAAGTTTGGAGAGGAGTGAACACTCATCTTGGCTTCCTCTTTCCCGACACAAGTGACCCACTTGTGGGAGGTAACTGCTCATTTTGCCTCCTGTCCCATCTGTGGGTACACATCTCGGGTCACCTGCTAGACTACTAGTCCTTGGGGACAGAACTGATGCCTGTTACTCCATCTTCCACAGCTCCGATCTCTTGCTAAAAGAAGCTCAGTAAAAGTGTGTTGGCTTTCATTTCCAAGAAAATGCAGCCCTTCTGAGGCTGGATCTCATGGGATGGTGTGTTGAGCAAAAGAAGCCAGACAGAAGTTCACCGTGAAGAGTTCTATTTACATAAATTTCTAATGGGTACAACTACATGAATGTGCGTAGGGATGCATTCTTAGACAGTAAAACACAGAAAGCAAGGAAATGAGTTTAAGAGACTCAGAAGATTTGTCTTCTCGGTGGGGAGGGAGGACTGTGTGACTGGGGAGGGATGAGTCTTGGTTGCCTGGGGTGCTGGCAGATTCCTCTTTCTTAACCTGCATTGTGGTCATATGACTCTTCACGTCACAATCATTTGTTAAGATATTCATTGGTGTGGAATGCGTTTTTTGTGTTATATCTCACCACTTTTTGAAAGGTTAAAACAACCTAGAAAAGAAAGCCCAAGGGCTCCCAAATGGAATCTTGTCCCAACCATAACCAGGGAGCCCAGAGGGAAGGCAGAGGTCGGGGCTCCCAGAAGAGTCATCAGTGGATTGGGTTAAGGGCAGCACGGGTTCTGTTTTGAGGATTTGATCTTTGAGAAGGATTTTAATCTCGTTTTGAATTATTTGTCTAAACCTGTAGGCTTGAGTATTCTAAATCTTCATTTTTCTTTATGCCTAGCTTGAGATGGAGAATCAGCACCTGAAAAGCTGTAATCAGCACCTGGTGGAGCAGGTGGGAGCCCTTCAACATGCACTGAAAGGTAAGTGGGCCAGCCTGCGCGGGGACTGGGGGAGTGGGGTGTGTATGGAGGGGGCGGGGGTGCTTGCGTATGTGGTGGGTAGTGGCTGAATTGGGGGAGCTCTTAATATGCCTATATTTGCCCCAACCACAGCTCTGCAGATGGCACCTTCAGGGAAGCTGCTGGCGGCCCCCCAGGGAACCACAGAGCGGGAATCTGTCCCTTCGGGACCAGGGGCCCAGCCAGCGGGGCAGGACAGTGGTCCTCCGGCCCAGGGTGCCCTGAACGCAGCTATCCCCGCACCTTCTCCGGGTGTCCTGCAGAGCAAAAACTCTGTTCCTAAAGCAGGAAGCCCCATGGAGGATTCTAGTTCCCAGACAGTCCACCCTGGAGCAACATCAGAGGCCAAGACCCTTCCACATCGTCTGGGAAGACAGGGCTGTCCTGGCCAGCTGTGCCTGAGGCCTCGCACCCCCAGGCATGGTCTGGCCTCCTGGGGTGAGGGCCTGGTCACTGCTCAGGGAGGGACGCTCCCCCGGACGAAGACTTCTGCCAAGGAAGCTGGCCCCGGCTGCAGCCTGACCCTGCCAAAGGCCCGGGCTCCCAGTACCCTCTGGGACAGCATCCAGCTGGCCAAACGGCACCACAGCCAGCCTCAGGCAGGCCCTGGGCACTTCAGCCACGTGGTGCGCATTGAGATGGGGACCCTCTCAGCCTTCCACCCCCTTAGCCTTCCCAAGGGGGCGGTCAGAGTCGAGCCCTTGGAGGAACCAGAGAAGATGGAGATGGAGGAGCAACCCCCTGCGGGGAAGAAGGAGACCCCGGGAGCAGAGCTGGAGGAAGTGAATTTGGAGAACAAACCACCGCCACCCCCCTTGCACCGCTTTCCATCCTGGGTAAGAAGCTCCCCCAGGGACAGGACAGAGGGGCCTGGCTGATGATATGACCACTTTTTTTGGTGCCCAGACCACCCCACCCACAAGGGGTGGAGCCAAGATTTCTGATGATCAGATGGTGGCCGGCTGTTTCCTGAGCTTGGGCCACAGCCAAGCTGTGTGCCTGTTTTCTCGTGTAATCTTTGTGACTCTCCAAGGAGGTGCAATCTGGTGGCTAAGAGCACCTAGGATCAAACAAGAAGGGCTGAATCACTAGCTCTGAGAGTTAGCATGAGCTACTGAACCTCTGTACCTCAATTCCCCTGTCTGTAAAATGGGGATAGCAGTACCTGCTTTACAGGGTTGCCCTGAGGATGAAGTGTGTTAATATGTATTTGGTGAATAGTTGCAGCAGTAGTTCATAGCAAGGGGAAAGGTTGTTGGAAACAGGGTAGGGGCCAAGAGAGGTTAGAACACCACCAGAACCATCCCTCCTCTTGTTCACTGCTATCTTGTAAATCCAGATGCTTTGGAGTCCTAAAGCAGAGGTGGGCAGTAAGGGAGCATTTGGCAAGAGGGCTCAACTCCTTCCGTCCCTGAGATAGGATCACTCTTGTCACTTTAGGGAACCATAATGGCCAGAAAACCCAACATCTCTTCTTGGGTGGGGCCAGCTGGGCAGTAACCTCATGGGAAAAATTGAGACTGAAAATTGGGGGGAAGGCCGTTTCTCAACCTGAGGGAGTCAGATGGACTTACTTGCAGATTTAGAGTTCCTTTTTCTGCTGCTGCTGCTAAGTCACTTCAGTCATGTCCGACTCTGTGCGACCCCATAGACGGCAGCCCACCAGGCTCCACCGACCCTGGGATTCTCCAGGCAGGAACACTGGAGTGGGTTGCCGTGTTCTCCTCCAGGGGATCTTCCCAACCCAGGAATCAAACCCACATCTCCTGTGTCTCCTGCATTGGCAGGTGGGTTCTTTACCACTAGTGCCATCTGGGAAGCCTGAGTTAGGCATCAGGTAACCTTCTGTAAAACACTCTTGCATTTGTTTAACCTAAATCCCACAAGTTTCACTTTCTGTCTATGAAGTCAGAGGCCTATCCGTAGTTGAATTCCATAACCACTACTGGCAGGAATAATTTTTTTATGCCTAATTTTACCACTTGGACCCAGTTTATCTGCCCTACATAAGCAGAGAATTCCCTGCCCCAGCCCAGTGCCACCCCTGCTCCATAATCCCTCCTTGCTGCCCGTCACTTCCCTTCCCTTGCCTCCAGGTACTGCAGGCCCTCATCCCAGCCCTTGCCAGCCCATTCCTCCCTCCCCCAAGTGCCCCAGCACTGCCGCTCCTCTCTGGAGTGGCCTTGATGTAGCATCCACCCCGCTTCCCGCCCCAACCCCAAGAACCAGGCCAACAACCTTTCCCAGTCCTGTGCCTCACATGTCACCTGAGGGGGCCTTTGTTTTCCCTTTACCTTGAGTGGAAAAGAGATATGGAAAAGGATAGGTTGGGCTTCTGGGTTGTTTGGGAGGGATCCAAACCCTAAGCCAAGCTCCCCAGACCTGTGGGCCTGCTTCAGAACCAGGGAACCCTGAGAAGAGGCAAGGGAAGAGTTGGGGTGGGCATTCCTGTTGTCTTCCGTGGTGGGGTTCAGGAGTCTGGGTGAGCTAGGACTTTGAGCTCGAAGCCTAACCATGATATGACATTGTTACCATAGGGAAAAAAGATGTCTCAGTTTTCTAACAACTGGCTTACAAAAGGGCACGTCCTTGCCATGGGACTCTGACCTCCTCATTGTCAATGCCCCAACTTCTAGGGCTCTGAGGTGCAGAGAAACAGGTCCTAGTCCCCTCTCCTCCTGAACCTCTTGCCCCAAGGGGAAGGGCTGCAGCGAGGGAGGAAATAAATATCAGCTGATGAGCACTGGCTGTATTCCAGGCGTTAGATGTTTTTGTTGATAATTTTATTTGCTTGTCACAACAGCCTGAAAGGTATTATTTATTACGCCCATTTTGGTTGGTTGGTTTTAGTCACTAAATCGTGTCCAACCCTTGTGACCCCATGGACCATAGCCCGCCAGGCTCTTCTGTCCACAGGATTTTCCAGGCAAGAATACTGGAGTGGGTTGCTATTTCCTCCAGGGAGTCTTCTTGACCCAGGGATCGAACCTGGGTCTCCTGCATTGCAGGCAGATTCTTTACCAACTGAGCCACCAGGGAAGCCCACATTTAGAGCCGCGGAAAATGAGGTCCAGAAATGATGTTGACTTGCCCCCAGATCCCCCCGCCCGTGCCCTTGGGAGTCACTGACTAAGCGTGAATGTGGACCCAGGTCTGCCCGCCTCCAAAGCCGAGGGCCGGGATGGGCACAGGGGTGGGTGGGGTGTGTGGGCTCTGACCTCCTGCCACCGCCCTGTTTCAGGAGAGCCGGATCTACGCTGTGGCCACGTCGGGCATGCGGCTGTCTGAAGTGTCTGTCAGAAGTAATGCCACCTGCTGCGGTGAGTCCCAAGTGGCTCCTGTGGTGGGCAGGGTGGGCATGCGCGGAGGACAGGACTCTGAGCTACGCCCAGGCCAGGTCACCTGCAGCCCATTCCTTCCCACAACAGGTGAGGTTCAGGTGAAAGCACGTGGCCAGGGCTCCCTTGGAGGGAGAAGGAAGCTGCAGGATTCTGCTCATCAGGTGCAGGGTGGGAGTGGGCGTGGCCGGAGTTGTAGCCAATTACAGAGATGGAAGGGGTTTTGGAGGCGGGGCCTCCAGCAGCCGTCCACCTGCGCCGGCTTTCCCTGCCGGTGCGAGGACTGTGGGCTGAAGGAGCCGCCAGCCCTTGCTGTGTGTGGCCCCGGAGTCACCCGCCACAGCGTCCCCACAGTGATGCGAGCGCCGCGTAGTCACATGGCTTGTAACTCACCTTGGCAAGAGTGGGACTGAGGAAGACCTTGGCCCTCGTCCTGGTATCTGTCACCCGGTCCGTCCGGTCTGTCCAGAGGGCTGTTTGTTTCAGGGAATGCTGTTGACGCAGATCTCTCTCCTCCTGGCGCCGCTCAGGTCTCTGCCTCCCTCCCACCCCTTCCTGAGTTATGTCACCGGAGTGAATCTCATTCCTCTCTCCTGCCCCTCCAGCTTCAAGCCCTCCTGCCCTTGCATCACCCGGGCCGTTCTCTGGCCTTGTCTACAAGAACGTCACCGTGCCTGTCTACACCGCCCTGAAGGGGGTAAGAAGCCGCTGTTGGAGGAGGGATTGTCCTCCTCCAGAGAGGCCTTCCCTTCACCTCCTGACCACCACCCGTATCTGCAGGCAGTGGCTGGGGTCGAGCTCTAGGGTCAGGCTCCTGAACACACATGTAACCCTGGGCAGGCAGCTCAGTGCCCGCCCGCCCCCCGCATGTATCATTTTGTTTTGTTTATCTTTATTAGATTTTTTAAAATCTATTTTTAATTTTTCTTCCAATTTTATTGAGGTGTAATTGACACACAGCATTGTATAAGTTGAAGGTGTGTAGCATAATAGTTTGACTTACATACATCACGAAATGGTTACAATGATAAGTTTAATAAACCTCCATTATCTCATATAGATATAAAATTTAAGAAATAGAAAAAATACCTTTCCCTTGTGGTAATGACTCTTGGGATTTACTCTTTCATGTATTAACATATAACAGTGTTAATTATATTTATCATATCGTGCACTACATACTTAGTTCTTACTTATAGCTAGAAGTTTGTACTTTTGATCACCTTCATCCAATTCCCCCGCTTGCCCCACGAGTAACCACAAGTCTGATCTCTTTTTCTATGAGTTTCTTTGTTTCTGAAGTATAATTGACCTGCAACACTATATGAGTTCCTGGTGCACAGAAATATCTTTATTAGGTTTTTATTAGAAAAATTCTACATTTACAAAAATGTGAATCGTTATGATTGAGGGCAAAGTAAAAAGTTAGAGGTTAAACCAATTCCTGCTCCACCTCTGCTCCTCATCCTTCCACATGTCTGTCCCAGAGACCAGTGGGGTTCCAGCCTGAATTTTTTATGTGTTCAAACATGTATTCCCGTATGTACTCCCATAACTTTTCTACATTTTAAAAAACATTAATTTATTTGGCTGCCTCCGGTTTTAGTTACAGCACATGGAATCTTCACTTCATCGTGTGGCACTTTCATTGTGGCATGTGGACTCTTAGTTTGCTCCACGGCATGTGGAGTCTTAGTTCCCTGACCAGGGATCAAACTCATGTCACCTGCATTGTAAGATGGATTCTCAACCACTGGACCATCAGGGAAATCCGTCTATATATATTTTTTAAACAAAAATCAGATATTGCTGCAACATGATGTTTTCATATATTTTGGTCTGCTTTTGTTACTGTTTTTTGAGATCATAACAGTAATACTTTGTAAAACTTGTTTGTAGAAGGATAAAAAGCCAAAAGTGAAATTTCCTCTTACATTGCTTTTCCCTTATTCCTAACCCTAGAGGCAACTATCACTAATGGTTTGGGGTTTATTCTGTAATGCCCTCTGATGCATTTACAAATTTTCTGTCCCTCTCTTACACGCACACACAAAGAGGATGATGTCATACATGTCAGTCTGCCCGTTGCTTGTGCACCCAGCCATATGTCAGGTCTTCCTGCCCTGCCTCCACAGGCAGCACAGCTCTGCCTCCCTTTTTGGGGCTGTCCAGTATCCCTGGTATAGATGCCCCATAACAACTTTAACTTGTCCTCCCCTGATTCACAACATGGGTCATCTCTGTCTTTCTCTAAAATCAATGTTGCGATGAACATCACCTTGCAAATACTTCTCTGTGCACTTATATATACCTATTTCTGTAGGACCTAGTTCTAGAGGTGGAATTTATGGGTAGATAATATGTATGTTTTAAATTTTGACAGGTAGTGCCAAATAACCTTCTAAAAGATTTTTATCACATTCTAGAGTATCCTTTTCTGCGCAGTTTCCCCAACATTGAAGTAATTGGTGTTTTAAAAATTTTTACCATGATCTCTCAATTTGTCATCCCCACCCACTTTCAAAGCTCGTGTCTCACACTTGGCGGTGGTGTGGTTTTCTGGCCCCCTAGTGGCAGGGAGCATGGGTCCCAGCTGCCAGGTGTTCAGCCCCAGTGGGGCAGCTCCACTGGGGACCACGTGGTGTGCGGGGGGGAGAGATGAGAGGTGAGGATGCAGGGGTAAGGTGGTCAGGTCGGGAGGGGACAGTTGTCTTTTGGGTGTTGCAGCTGGGTGGAGGCGTCCCCATGGGCTAGACAGGCTGTGTCGGCCACACCTGGGGCACGTGGAGCTGGAATGAATGTGCAGGTGGGCGGGGGCTTGCTTTGCAGCAGGAGCTGCAGCGGGGAGGGGGCCTGTCTTGCAGAAAGCCACGCAGATCAGCTCGGTGCCCTTTGTGGACGATTCCTCTGGGTCCGATGATGACTGCAGCTCCCAGGCAAGCTTCCGAATTTCACTCCCCTGCTCTGAGTCCAGGAAGACCAGTGGACTGGGCAGTCCCCGGGCCATCAAGAGAGGTAGGGAGGAGGGGGGTGGGAGGGATATGAAACAATGAGGGGTCCCTCCTCTCCTCCCATGGGTGGTCCTTCTTCGGCATCCCTGGCGGGTGAGGAAGGCCCTACAGTTCCCAGGCTGGGCTAGTCCAGGCCTGGACTCCCCCTCCCTTGGACAGGCGTCTCCGTGTCCTCGCTGAGCTCCGAGGGTGACTACGCCATTCCCCCGGATGCCTGCTCCTTGGACAGTGACTACTCTGAGCCTGAGCACAAACTGCAGCGCACCTCATCCTATTCCACGGACGGGCTGGGCCCAGGCGGGGTGAGCTGGGGGCTCTGCTCCCACCCCACGGGGCCCAGGCAGGGCTGGGTGGGAACGGACCTCCAGCACAAGACCCAGGCAGCCGCTGTGGGGTCCCTGGGACTGACGAAGGGACAGCGGGGCCTGGAGGCTGTCATTGATGATGTGAGGCCTCGGGGAGTGGGCTGGGGGTGTGCAGTTAGGAGGTCAGGTGCACACAGACCCCCATCACTATGGCCCAGGGGGCCTAGTGGGGCAGGAGGAGTTTACACGTGTTGCCTCTTTAGCTCCACGCTGACCCGGGGACGCTGAGCGCTAATAATGTATTTATTGAGTTCTTAGTGTGCCGGGCACCATGCTCAGGGCTTTGCATGCAGCGTCTCATTTGTCCTCACGGTCATCTCAGGCTTATTACCCCCTCTCGCGGATGAGAAGTCTGAGGCTCAGGTGTGCTGTTGTGCTCCAGAGCCAGCGGTGAATCCAGGTGGCTCATTCCCCATCGCTCGCTCCGCACCGCTGTGCTGCCCTGTCTTGTCTTTCCCTCCCCCTCCACAGACTCTGCTCCCCGACTCAGCTCATGTTCCCCAAACTCTTCTCTTGCCCCTCCTTGCTGCCTGGGATGGCCTCCTTCCTCCTCTAGGCTCATCTCAAAGGAAAGGCTGATTTCCTTCCAAGGCTGGTTCAGATTTGGCTCCTGCTGGAAGCCTCCCCTGGCCAGCCTCTCACTTGTACAGCCCCTGGTCCACCACCTCCTCATGGTCCTGTGTTGTCTCCCCCTGCCAGCAGGACCACCCATGACTCCTCTCTGCACCCTTAGCCGGGCAGTTCCCTGAAAACACACATTGTTGTTGTTGTAGTCGCTAAATCATGTCCAACACACACAGTAGATACTCAATAATTTGTTTTAATTGATGACAAAGCAGTGATTCTGCTGGGCCCTTTTGTCCTGTGTGATGTCCAGGAACCCCAGTGATTTTTTCCCCTCCTCACCCTGCACCCCTCCACTCCTGCAGGAGTCACTGGAGAAGTCAGGATACTTGCTGAAAATGGGGAGCCGGGTGAAGACGTGGAAGAGGCGCTGGTTTGTGCTGAGACAGGGACAGCTCATGTACTACAAGTCTCCGGTGAGACCTTCCTTCTCTGGACCATAGGCAAAAGGACCCACCCCAGCCCCAGAACTGCATGAGGGACCAGAAGCCAGGCAGAGGGCGAAGGTCTGGCAGGTACAAGAGGCAGCCTGGGCAGGTTCCTGAGGCTCTGAGCCCCATATGGAACCAGGAGTGAAATCAAGCCCTGAGCAGTCAAGGGCACTTCTGGACCACTTGGCTTGGTGATTTCTTTTTCCTTTGGAAGCTGAGTTCTTCTTATGCCTGGTCCTATAAATAAACTATTCCCAGGCTGCTCTCACGTGATAGGGGCTGTTCTAACAGGGAAGCTTGTTACCTGCTCCATCTTCTTCCAACGCTGTTTGGAATTAGGAAGCCTTAGGATCCTGGGACCTAGTTTGGCAGGATCTCCCTGGAGGACCAATGTTAATGTTTTTTTTAATTTTTTTTTAATGTTTTAGTTTTTTTCAATGTCAATGTTTTAAAGAAGGTGAAAAGGCCTGTCTCTTGTGCAATTCCAGTTGATTGTTAGTGCCTGCCTTGAGCACCATGTTAAAGATTCTGGGCCTGCACCACTCAATGAGTAGGCATGCTCTGATTGATTAATAATGTCTGGAAAGGGTAATGGTGATATACAGGCCACCTGTTTGTGACACTTGGTATAAAATATACAGTAGAAAGAATTTAAGGGCTTTATAACTCAGGAATAACTTTAGTTATTAGTTTCTTCTTGCCCAATTTTTAAAAAGGTTCAAGCTCTACTTTTGAGGCCTGGATCAGCAGGACCCATGTCTCTGATCATTGCTCCATTTACTTAGAACCAGGATCCAGAACAAGTTACCCATCATACCACAGCCCAGGAAAGCTTGGGAGTCACTTTCCCCTTTGTGACCTGGAGTAAGATCTGAGGGGAAATGGTGTGCTCTGGGAAGGCTCCAACCTCTTCCCTCTTCTTCCTTTCTTTACAGAGTGATGTCATCCGGAAACCTCAAGGCCAAGTGGAACTAAACTCCCGTTGCCAGATTGTTCGAGGGGAAGGTGCACAGACATTCCAGGTGAGCACGCTCCTGGCAGTTAGTGTTTTAGATAGAAGAGGTGCTGGGTTTGGATATGGCTCCGATGAAAACAAAGATGGGGCACAATGAGCATGTATGAAAGACATTACATTGACATTTGCATCGATCCTCATTTGTGGGTTCAAGGAAGGAAGAGGAGGCAGGATGTGAGGAGTGAAGGTAGGAGAGAGATGGAGGAAACGAGGAGAAGAAGGAAGGCCCGGTGGGCCAGAGTTCTGTTCCACCTCATAGCCGGGCCCCTGTTATTCCATCCTCCTCTCCCCACCCCCTCATCCCCCAGCTCATCTCTGAGAAGAAGACCTACTACCTGACGGCTGACTCGCCCAGCCTGCTGGAGGAGTGGATCCGTGTCCTGCAGAGCCTGCTGAAGGTCCAGGCCATTGGGCCTCCAGCCCCGCCTCAGGGGGGCTCCAAGCCCACTGTGAAGGGCTGGCTGACCAAGGTATGGATGGGGGGATGGGGGAGGCATGTGGGCCTCCCTGAGAGTCAGGGGAGCCAGGAGTGAGTCCCGGACGTGGTGGGTCCCCTCCTGACACAGCTTTCTGCAGAAGGTTCCTCACACTGGTTACCTGTGGTCTGAGTCACATAAGGTGATGGTGAATGACTCTGGAAAAATAGGGATCAAGGTTGTTAGAACAACAGCTATTCTCAGGACAGAGGAGGGAAAGGAATGTCTTGGACCCAGTTTGAGATCATTCGAAGCTGCCCCCACCCCTGCCTTGTACCCACCACAGCTCAGTATGAATAGAGGGAAGCTGTGACCTTGGTGAGGCAGGCGTGGCCAAAGACTCATAATATCTCAGGCTGCCCTTAAGACATTTTTTGTTTATTTGTTTGTTTTTGAGCTTGGCATGGGAGATCCTGGTTCCCTGACCAGGGATCGACCCCAGGGCCCTCTGCAGCTGAAGTGCAGAGTCTTAACCACTGGGCCACCAGGGAAATCCCTAAAGACATTTTAATTAGGGCCTTTCTGGTTGCAGGGAGCTGAGAAGCACTTGTTGACCCCAAGGAAGGGGACGTTAACAGGGAAGCGCAGTAACTAGGCCAGGATGCTATCAGGAGTGATGTGTGAGAAGCTCTGTGCTCGGGGCTCTCCCTCTGCCTTCCTGTTCAGTCTGTGTTCACGGCCCTCTCCTCTGCCCAGGTGCAGTGTTTTTACACTTCAAGATTACATTTGCCCAGGGGCTTCAGCCCACGGTGGCCCTGCCCTCCCAACTCTAGCCCTTGCTGACTAGCAAGTTCTTCTTGTGGTCATATTCCTGGGACAGGACATCTGGTTGGCCAGGTCAACCTTTTAATGGCAGTTCATATGAGGATGAATGGGGTGTCGTGGCCATGGACCCTTGCTGTGAAAGGGCTGATTCCATTAGTCGAGAATCTGGGTGGCATCTGAGTTTGACCTGGAATTGACCTAAGGGTCTGAGTTGAACCAGAGGTTTTGAGATGTGTCTCCTTGTGGCTTCTCTTTGCCAGTCCCAGATTTACTTCTGGGGTCATCTGATTCTGATAATGCTGGTTCACTTCTGACCTGCAGGTCAAGCATGGCCACTCCAAGCTGGTCTGGTGTGCTCTTGTTGGGAGAACCTTCTACTACTATCGAAGCCATGAAGACAAGGTACTTCCTGGCCTCCCAATAGCTTCCCCCAATCCACATTCCTGTGGCTCTGTGTCCTGATGGAAGGCCCCACCCCAAACCCTATAACCAGTAAGAAGCTAGTGATTGGATCCCTTTCTTGAGTGTGTGACCATTGTGCAAGGCCCACAGGTTGTTTTTGTGTGGTGTGTCTGTGCTCCTCCAGGCCTGTCTCCCCTTCCCCATCCTGTTGTCCATCTACCTCCTTGATCCCCAGCCCTGTAAGCCCTGTGGTTCAGAGGGAGGAGACTCCTCTGTCCCTGCCGGCCCTCCCATTCATGCACGGCTCCTGTCTGCAGCGACCCCTGGGCCGTCTGCCTGTGCGGGACGCACACATAGAGGAAGTGGATCGATCCTGTGACTCAGATGAGGACTATGAGGCTGGAGGAACCCGGCGGTTGCTGTCTTCCCACTACACCCTGGTGATCCACCCCCCGGAGCACAGCCCCACCTACCTCCTCATTGGCACCAAGCATGAAAAGGTGAGGGAGGGGACTGGGCCTCCATGGCAAAGCTCAACCCTTTGATCCGCATCTTCCTTCCATCTTCCCTGAGAATCCCGAGATTCAAATTTGTTTTCCTCCTAGACATGTTGACAACTCGTATTTCCTGATTGGGAATATTCCTTGTAGTGGGTTCATTCCCAGCGACCAACATTTATTCACTTGGGCCATGAGATGGAGGGGACCACAAGCTTAGGAACTTAGGTTCACATTCATTTGATCCCAAGTCTTTCCTCTTAGAGACTGATGGCCTCAGCTTGTGCCAGCCAAGCAGGCTGAGCATCACCCTGGACTTGGCCCCTGCAGGGAAGCTCCCTTGGAGGTCCTGCCTCCATTCTGTCCCAGCCCAGCCCCATCAGCTGGCTTTCCATCCTCTTCCAGGATACGTGGCTTTACCACCTCACGGTGGCTGCGGGTGGCAGCAGTTCCAAGGTGGGCACTGCCTATGAGCAGCTCATTGGAAAGCTGATGGATGGTGAGGGAGACCCAGGTAAGCCAAGGGTGGCCATCACTGCTGGGCTGGAAGGCAGTGGCTGAATAATTGGTGGTTGGGAACCCCAAGAAAGCACAACCATACCCTGAAGCTGTTGGGAAACCATCTGCGCCACAGAAGGGCATTCGTGTCCCATGCTCCAGGGCCTTATTTCTGGAGAGAATAGTGGGGAGACCACTCAGTATCTGGGGGAGTTGTCTGGGGAGCAGACACTTGGTCAATGTTTTACTTGGTTCCCTGCAACTTTGCTGACTGGACAGAGGGTTGAGGAAAGAAGGTGGCTGGTTAATCTGTAGCTAGAGGTGGTTAATAAATGAAGTTAGGATCAGGCTGACCTGAGCATGGCGCATTTAGAAGTCTGTATTTTGCTGCTGATTCTCAGGACCCTAAGGACCCAAGGGCTCCCAGCACACACCCTGCTCCACTGCTGCTCCAAGGCTTGTTTGTTCCAGGCTGACACACATTCCTCTATCCAGACCTGACACTGCAAGGAGGGGGCCTCCCCTGCACGTGCGCGCGCGCACACACACACGCTTACATTCAGATGCCCATGCCTTGCACGCTCACTCCTACTGCAGCCCCATGAGCAAAGCAGTAGCTGCCTTCCTGTAAGCCGTGCTTCTGAGTGTGCTGAATAAATGCAGTGCACACCTGCCCAGCCCATGCTCTGTGGGTGTAAACGCAGCACAACCCGTGTATCCAGACTGAAAGCCCTGTCTTCCCTGCAGATCAGAGCGGGGGTGGGGGGCGCGCTCCCTGGTCCCTCCGCAGTGCTGACTGCCCCTGCTTTCCGGTGCTGTGCTCCGGGCAGACTCCCCACTCTGGAGGCACCCCATGCTGTGCTACACCACAGACGGGCTGTACACCTCCCTCACCACCCTGCCGTCCGAGGCCCTGCAGACGGAGGCTGTCAAGCTCTTCAAGGTAAAGTGGGAGCCGAGCCCAGGCCCACAGTCTGACGGTTGGCACCCTTGCCCTTGGTTCTGTCCAGAGCAGTTCTGCCCACTGTGGTGATGAAGACCCGGGCAGTTTAGGGGGTGGCTTACGGAGGGATCTGAAGAGGATGGGAGACAAGTCTCTCAGGGTTCCCACCGTGTCCTTTATGGGGAAGATACTGGAAGCTCTGGGACGTCACCCCGGGCCCTTGAAATGAAGAGCTGCCTTCCTGGAGTGCACAGCGGGAAGGGGCAGGTTTCTGTTGCTTCTGGACCTGAGAGGTTCCGGCCTATTTTAGGACGTTCTTTGTTCCCCTCTGAATCTTCTATTTAAAAAAATAATAATAAATATGTCTTGTAATGGGAATATTTAAAGAAGGAAAGATCCTCTCCCAAAGTAGCCATCTCAGTAAGCATAGATATTCTCAAGCAGTAACGCTGCTCTCTCCGAGAAAGCACTGTCTGCAGTGAACCGGGGCCTCCCTTGAGCTCTGAGGGGGTGGGGGGGACAGCCCAATCTGTCCCAGCCACAGGGGACAGTCGTCAAGGAACCGCCCGAGCCCACTGTCATCTCCCTGCAGTCCTGCCAGCTCTTCATCAACGTGCCCGTGGAAGCCGCCTCGGTGGACTACCATGTATCCCTGGCGCAGACGGCGCTGCAGGTCTGCCTGGCTCACCCCGAGCTACAGAGCGAGATCTACTGCCAGCTCATGAAGCAGGCCAGCTGCCGCCCGCCGCAGAAGTCCTCCCTCATGCAGGTGGGCGTCCCTGGGGCAGAACAGCCGTGGGCCAGGGCTGCCCAGGAGGTGGGAGAGGTGGAAGGAGGTGATGGGGCACATATCTTCCGAGCCTGGCGGCCAGCAGGCAGCCTCGGGGCACAAAACTGTCCCGCTGTCTCCTCTGTGCCCCTCCTGGATGTCTGCACACAGATTGCGTGACTGCGGTTCTGGACGGAGCCTGGCCAAGCTGGCCCTCCTGGTGCCCACAGGAGGTTGGGGGCTGTGGTTTGGAGGGGCTGCTGATGGCTCTGCAGCTCAGGACCGTGAGGGCGGTGGTGTGCAGACCCAGCACTCACCCCGCACTTCCTTCACCCCCAGTGCTGGCAGCTCCTGGCTCTGTGCGCCCCCCTCTTCCTGCCTCAGCACCACTTCCTCTGGTACGTCAAGCAGCAGCTCCAGCGCCATGCGGATCCCAGGTGAGATAGTGCCCCTCTGGCGTGATCGAGAGGGACGTCGAGGGAGACTGGGATGGATCAGATCACCCCTGCTCCCTGGGATTTGTGTGGTGGCCATGGAGATTTTGCCCGTCAGCACGTACACTGATGGGCACATGGCGATCCAGGCATGCTGGGCTCCAGGCATGCTGGGCTCCTCTACATGCCAGTCCATGTAGGCACAGGTATTCTGTAGGGGCTCTCATGTGAAGCTACAGTACCCCCACATCATCCCCATATTTTCATTCTCTGTTGCCATGTTTGTTTCGGGCTCCCGCAGAAAACAGCCCTGCCAGCAGCCTGTAGCAAATAGATCCTGAAAGACAAATTAACACCCCAGACCAGTCTTCAGGGCTGCTATCACAGCCTCCCAGCTGCGGGTTCAGTCCTACAGGTTATGTGTCAGTAGGGAGCCGGGGGTGAGTGGATTCCCCAGTGTTCCTTTTTCCCTTCACCTGTCTTTTAGAAATGAAACCGGCCAGTACGCCACGTACTGCCAGCGGGCGGTGGAGCGGACGCTGCAGACCGGGGAGCGGGAGGCCAGGCCGTCGCGCATGGAGGTGGTGTCCATCCTGCTGCGGAACCCCTTCCACCACTCCCTGCCCTTCAGCATCCCCGTGCACTTCGCCAACGGGACCTACCAGGTGACCAGGCTGCCGCGCTCCCTGAGCTGAGTCTTCTCATGTCACCGACCCAGAGGAGAACCCCTTTGGACAAGAGGGTGCTGAGCCTCCGTAGGCCCAGCAGGTCTTAACAGGCAGACCAACTGAAGGACAGGCCTGGGGTTTAGAGGGCGAGCAGGGCCATTTGCACCAGTGTGGAGGGAGGAAGGAGCTTGAATCGCAGAGGTGCTTCACTCTTCGGGGCCTGGGAGATGGATCTTTTGAACCCACTGCACGAACAGGGACGCTGAAACACTGACCGAAAGAGTGGCCTGGGAAAGGGCCCCCCAAGAGAGTAGAGTATAGCATGTGGGACTGCAGTTCACTGTGGGCAGGCTCCTCCCTTAAGCACTCACCACTCCACGTGGAAACCAGCTCCCTTTGGCCTTTGCGATCTCCCTTTCAGATTGCCCTTGTGGCTCAGCTGGTAAAGAGTCTGCCTGCAATGTAGGAGGCTTAGGTTTCATCCTAAGGGTTGGAAAGATCCCCTGGAGAAGGAAATGGCAACCCACTCCAGCATTCTTGCCTGGAAAATTCCATGAACAGAGGAGCCTGGTGGGCTACAGTTCATGGGGCCACAAAGAGTCGGACACGACTGAGCGACTTTCACTTCACTTGCTTCTTTCAGTCACGCCTCTCCACCTCCTGGGCCCTGACCCCTCCACTGGCCCCTCTCCCGGCAGGTGGTGGGTTTTGATGGCTCCTCCACTGTGGACGAGTTCCTCCAGCGGCTAAACCAGGAGACAGGCATGAGGAAGGCCTCCCATTCCGGCTTTGCCCTCTTCACAGACGACCCTGCTGGCAGGGACCTGGAACACTGCCTGCAGGGGAGCGTCAAGGTGATTTCCCCCACTCCCAAGCCAACTGAATCCCTCCTGCACCACCTCAGCCATCCGGATTTTGTGTTCCCAGCCTGTTGGAGACTAGCCTGAGGTGTGCCCCCAGGCCAGCATTTCTGTGCCATCCTAAAATGAGCCCATACAGGCAGAATTGTCTCTGCCCTTGTCTCTGGAGAGATCTCCACATCCCGCCCTCCCTTGAGAGAGACTCTTCAGCTTCCGGGGGGAAAAGCTGCCTCTCAGCTCGGTGTTGGAAGGACAGGGAGGTGCTTGTCAGCATCAGCCCCACCTGGGCAGAGCCCCCTGCCAGTTCTATACGCACACAAACGCATAGACAGACAACTGTATGCTGGACCCAGCGGGTGTTGTGTTGTACACTGGCCACGTGCTCTTACCTCAACTGCCAAGGCCCCTACTGTGCTTACAAGTTCCATCATAAAGAGGTAGATCCTTATAGTACTTCTGTATGGACTTTTGAGTGGGATTCGAGCCCTGTGTTGGATTAGGGTCTGGGGTTAGAACCGCAGGGCATGCTGGCTGTTTGTGGGAATGTGCTGGAGCAGTTGACAAGGATGAGGGTTTGGCTTCAGTGCCTGCTTTCTTTATGGTGACAGGACAAAGGCTTCTATAGTCTTACCATGGCCTGGAAAAACTATGTGCCATGTACCTTCTTTGTAAATGCCTGGCATCTGTAAGCCTTTGTTACACAGTAGGCCTCTGGTAATGCTTGTTGAGGAGAATGGCGGCTGGTGGAAGGAAAGTGGAGCTGGTAATAAGGGGCCATGGTTTTTGACTGGGGCCTGCCCAGCCATGGGAGGCTGTCTCAGATGTTAAGGCAGTGGGGGGCAGGGTTCCGTGGTTTGCTGCCCACACCACACTCGGAGCTCCACCTCTGTCTGTAAGGAAGTCGCTAGCACCCTGGGTCCTGGGAGCATGAAGCCCCCTCAGGTCAGCCTCTGGATGGAGAATGACCATTCTGCTCTGCCTGAGTCCAGGCATGACTGGACCTTCTTCCCCTCATCGGGGGCTTTTCTGACTTTGCTCTTTTGCATCTTGCAGATCTGTGATGCCATCTCCAAGTGGGAACAAGCCCTGAAGGAGCTGCACACGGGAAAGTCTGAGGGTGGCACACGTGTTGTGAAGCTGATGTACAAGAACAGGTCCTGAAGGCTGCCCAAGGCGGGACCGAGCATGAGGCCTGCTGCTGGGGTGCAGCTCTTCTCCTTTTCACTGGAGGCCTGGCCTTCACAGACAGGCCCGCAGATACAACACTGCCCATTGGTCCTGAGCTGGGGGCCCAGGCCGGCCCTGCTGGTCTCTGTGAGACCCTGGACAGCTCAGGCTCTCGGTCCCTGCACTGTATCTGCACGCTCACACATGCCTGCACACACACACACACACCCCTGAGCCCCAGCCAGCTTCCTCAGGTGGCTGCATGTGCTACATTAAGAGAGGGAGATTTTGAGCACTAGATATTTAAGGCTGAAGAATAAATTGCTCCTGTACCGATTCCAGGAAATACAGGAGCCATCCTGACTTTGAGCCATATCACTTTGAGTAAGAAAATTTCATCTCAGATATGTCTCTAGGCAAATAATTTCCATTAGTCTCTTGGCATCTTAATTTATCCAGTTCCCTAATAAACTATGAAAAAGGAGCTTCCCAGGTGGCGCTATGGTAAAGAACCTGCCTGCCAATGCAAGGCATCATGGGTTCAGTCCCTGGGTTGGGAAGACCCCCTGGAGGAGGGCAAGGCAACCCAATCCAGAATTCTTGCTTGAAGAACCCCATGGACAGAGGAGCCTGGCAGGCTACAGTCCATAGGGTTGCACAGAGTTGGGCATGACTGAAGCGACTTAGCGTGCATGCACCAGCTTCCCCTCACCTAATCCAGTAAGTCTAAAGGTGAATTCAGAATTAACCACACGCTACTGTTGCTGTGAGATCTAGTGGCCCTGTATTTTCTGTGTCCTGCTTGGTTAAATTTTCTGGAGGCAGTGGAAAACAGACTCACAAGTGGTATAAGAAGAGTAGTTTTTTTCTTTGGAAATCAAGAGAAACGGATACAGAGACAGCTTCATCTGTTCAGGATTCCAGTTGATTCCTGGCTTCTCTCTTTCTCTCCCTTAGGCTGTATTTTCGGAGTCAAGTCAAAGGGGAGACAGAGCGAGAGCGTCTGCTGCTCGCCTCCCAAACTAACAGAGAGATAGTGGCAGGGAGGTTTCCTGTCAACAAGGAGCTGGCTCTGGAAATGGCTGCCCTGATGGCTCAGGTAAGGTTCTGTTCAGGAATCAGGAGGGTCAGGGGACCGTCTTGGACTCGCAGGCAGAATGCACTACACGGGGGGAAACAGAAGATTCTGCAGGTTCTGAGCTGCCAGAGAGGGTGGCCTTGCTGACTCCTTACCTAGTAGAGCATCTCCCTGCAGACACATACTGAGAGCCGGAACCCAGGGGCCTAGGTTTGAATCCAGTCACCTAACTGCTGTGAGATTTGGCCAACTTACTTTTCTTATCTATACTTTAGTTCTCTTTTGTATTTTGGAAGCAAAAATCCTTACAGTGTTGTACTATTATTCTTAGATAATGTATGTTGTAAAATGTGTACTTACCAGCTGTCAAACACTGCAGTGAGAACTGGGAAAAGGGAACGTGCATTCTGGCTTTTACTCTTCTCCCTGTTACCTTTAGGAGGCTGTCTTGCCAAAGGCATCTGGGATGCCTTCATGGTTCCCCTAAGAAAGAGCCTGGATTTATATGATGGAGAAGAAGGAGATATAATAATAGTTGATCTTTAATAAACATGTACTGAATATGCTAGAGAGGGCCCTGTGCTGAGTGTTTTATATGCATTACCCTATTAAGTTCTCATTCTTACTTTGTAGGAGAGTAAACTGAACAGAGCTTAACTTGATTGTGGTTTCAAAGCTGGTAAATGGCAGAACTGGGATTTGAGTCAAGCATCTGACTCCCATGGCCACATTGGGAACACTGCTATACTGTAGGATCTGTAGCATCTTCAGCCCTGTATCCCATAGTTTGGGATTAGAAGCCAGAATTTCTGTAGTGTTGTCTGCCACTGATTAGCTGTGTCTTTGGATAAGGCACATAACTTCAGCTACAAAAGGAAAGTTGAACTTGACAATCTTTAATATTCTTGGACCCTAAGATTTTTTCTCTGGTGTCTGTAAAACTTGAGATAAAGGGTCTGTTCACAAGAAATGTTTTTTTTCCCATCCATTCCCTCCTCACCAATAAAGGAATGAAATGATGGTTTTTGTACCTCTCAGCAGGCCCGCACCCATACCCTACGCACATCCAGTTTCCTGACTTGTCCCTCCGCGTGCTTCTACTGCAGGTGGAGTACGGGGACTTGGAGAGGACCGTCCTGCCGGGACCTGGGGGTACACTCTCTGCCAAGGCTCAGCATCACCTCCAGCAGGTCCTGGACAGGTTCTACCCAAGGCGCTACAGACATGGGGTTCCCGCTGAACAGCTGAGGTAGGCTGCAGGGTCTTGCAGGGAGCCACTGTGGGGAGACCTCAGAGCTGCGACAGAAACATGGTGCCCTGTCTCTCCATCCTCCAAACCAGGCTCCTGGCAGACCAGCTGACCACGAAGTGGGCGGCACTGCACGGCTGCTCCTCTCCTGAGTGCATCCGCATCTACCTGGCAGTGGCCCGGAAATGGCCCCTCTTTGGTGCTAAGCTCTTTGCTGCTCAGGTAAGTGTGAGCGTTTCCAGTGGATGGAGTGGGTACCATCCCATCTGGAAGCCCACCATCCCATCAGAAACTCCCCTAAGTTCCTCGCGGATTCCATTCAGGTTTGAGCCAGCTCAGTCCGTAGCGCCCGCCTGCACACTAGCAACCACTAGGGGTCGCAATCTCTCCACCCACTTCTTGCCTGCTGCAAGCTTTCCCTGGTCCAGAGCAGTTGTGACTTAACTGCTTTTGGACCAGGATTATTTCTGGGTGACCCTCAACTTTCCTTTATTGACTTCTTTCCCAATCCTACCCCTGGAGAAAAAAGAAAAAAGATAGGGTTAACTAATTCTCAGCGGGGTTCAGACTTGATGTGGACGTCCCTCTCAAGAGTGCTTTCATTTGAAAAGAAGTTTGAAAGGACGTATTAGTGTAATAACCTAAACAAACACATCTCCACTGACCTGGAGTGGCCCCGGGGGGATGTGACTACTCAGGCAACAGTTCATTTCTCCTGCATGAAGGCCAGGTGGCCAACAGTAATTTCAGCTGGAACTTTTCTTCACTGGGTATCTGGTATGTGTGAACTTGGTACATAATCACACAGAGTGTCCTTGCCTCGATGGTGGATTGCGGTCCTGTTCACTGAGGACACAGATCAGACAATAGACAGTCACTCATTCATTCAACGAAGAACTGTTGAGCTCCTGGTATGTCTCAGGCATTGTGCTGGTTGTTTGCGGTTACAAGACATAAGCAAATCCGACACAGTCCTTGCCTTCATGGAGCTTTCTATCTAGTAGGGGAGGTCCACATTAATCAAATAATAATTCTGTCTCTAAATACATATATAATTTTTTTTTACAAGTTGTCACAGTGCCATGAAGGAAAAGTACCGGGGTGTTATAAAGGCATATAACATGGGGACCCTCTTGGCCTGGAAGGTTGGGGAAAGCTCCTGATGAAAGAGACATGTCCATCTCTGCTCCCAGACTTCTGGGTAGAAGAGATAGGAAATCTAGATTGCCCTCATGCAACCCTGGCAGGGGAAATTAGTCATTCTAGGACTTGTCCACCAAATAGTCACTTTTCTCCCTGGTAGGACCTAAAGCCTTTAAGGTTGCATTACTGTTTTCCTGATTTTTAAAAAAATAATCCCTAGAAAATTGGTTAAATCAGGATGCACTGGTGCTGGGAAAAACTGGGTGGAATGCTTTCAGTTTCTGAGAGCCAGGAGAAGACAGCCTCTTCTCCATGTCTGCAACGGAACAGCCAGGGCTGGCCTCTGAAGCAGGAACAGGATGTGCCTTGCTCTGTACTGTAGCAGGGTGGGCTGTGGGTACTGCAAGAAAGTGATACCCTTCCCCACTCAGCCTAGTTCGTAAGTGGCCAGAGCTCCAAGCCAGACGCCTCCCGCCACGAGCAGTCTGTTTATCCAGCATGCCGCACAAATACCATCTTCTGTGTTTTCCAAAAGGAGAAAAAAGTTGGAAATCACTGCCTAGGAGATCCCTGGATGTGCCTTCTACCTCAGAAAGCTCTAGTGGTTCAGAATCCTAGCTGTGACTCGGTCTGATGGGATTTTCCTGTTCCCCCAGCCTGCACAGCTGTCTTCCAAGGAGAGAGCTCTGGTGTGGATTGCTGTGAATGAGGATGGAGTCAGCATCTTGGACCACAACACTATGGTATGGGAGGGTGAGGGCTGGCTCCCTGGCTCCTCCTGTCTGCCCTCAGAGTCCTGAGCTGAGACCATGGTTGCTCTGCCCTTACTGTCCTCTAGTCTAGTCACAGCTATAGACATTTGAATGGAGCTCTCCAAAGTGTGGCCACTTCAGACTTCTCTTTCCTGGTCTGACGAGACTCCCAGCTCAGGAGGCAGGGGGAAGGCTGCCCAGGAACTAACTGGATTGCTTCTGACAGCAAGTGCACGTCACGTATCCCTACTCTTCGGTGACGACCTTCGGTGGCTGCCGAGATGACTTCATGCTTGTGATCAGATCCCTTCCAGACCAGAGCTCTGGGAAAGGCCACGTTGAGAAGTTGATCTTCCGGATGGCTGCTCCCAAGGTGGGCCTGAAAGCTGCTAGAACATTTGACTCTGATCGGGTATGATGAGGTTGGGCTTGGAGCATAGAAAGGAAACTGAGGTTGTGATAATACTCCAGAAGGGCCCCACCCCAAACAAAAACGTCTGGCCTTGTCTCTCATCAGCACTCCTGAGGATGCTGGGCTGGTAGGTAGAGGGGCTGGTGGGGGCACTCCTCACGCTCCTTCCGTTCTGTCAGCCACCGCACCGGGCAGCTTAAGCTGGGGGGCCTCTCGCTGCTCATCCTTGCAGCAGGCCCAGGCCCAGGGCGGCTTCCTCCTCCAGGCACTCTCACCTTGCCTTGGGTTCTGCTGTCCCAGCACTGGTCACAAGTGGGCCAGTCAGCACCGGCTCCCTCTTCCCTGGGGCTTTGAAGAAGGCCCAAAGACCTGTTTCACTTTAAGGGCTTTGTTCCTACTCAGTACAGGAAATGTTGATTGGCAAAAATAACAATTCCAGAGACTCTGAAACCGAAGTTCTGATTTATAGTTTCTGGTTCCCTTCTGAGCAGCTGGAAACCCTGTTGTTTTAATCCTAAAGCTGGAGTTTGACAAACCTCCTCCTTTAATACTGCCCCTGCCGAAGGAGAGGACATGCAGGTCCCTTCCTCCAGGGAGGCCGCCTGCCCCAGCTTGGAGACAACCAGAGCGGAACGTTGGTCCTCCTGTTTTCAGGAGGTACTGTGGACTCCAGACGCCCATTTCACTGGTTGTCTGACCCTCACCAGTAATGATCCCCCGCCTTGGACATTTCCACCCTGGGTGGGTATTTAAGAGACAAACCGAAGCCCAAGAAGCTTATGTACCCAGTGCAACAGCTAGTGAGAGAGATAGCCAGGATTCAAGCCAAAGCTAGTTCCATTCCTTCATTTCTCTGTTGTCTCCTTAGATTGCAGAGATGACCTTCATCTTGGCCAGCTACATGAACCACTGCTCCACAACTGTGAACCCACCCACCACCCCCACTGCTGCCTGCCAGCCATGGGAACTGCATGGATGACAGTCCTTTGCTTCTGTTCCCTGTGCTGCCAAGGGGCCAACGTCGCTGTGAATATTTCTCCTGTCCTTTTCCCCACCACCACCTGGTGCCTCTGGGATCAGAGACGTGCATCCTCGGGTGTGATACTACTGTGATGGCTCTGACGGCCCCCTGCAACCCGCCCCGGTTGTTCTGTCAAATGTGTACCTCGGTCTCCATGAAGCCTTTACTCTCCAGGTGCCTTATCATGTTCCAGGGCCAACCTTTAGAAATTCAGACCCAGTATAAAAACCACTTTTCCCCCACAAAAACACTGAGCTGTGGATGCTGTTCAGTTCTAGACACAGGGTTGGCCCGCTGTCCCTGACTACTGAGGGCATCAGTGCTGTCCTTCAGTTTTCCTGCACTGCTGTCCTCAGGGAGACTAGTGTTTTTAATAATGTCTGTGGTCCTCACGCAGGGATTTATACTTGAAGTTTTTCTGACATCCCTGAACGGGAGAGGACTAGAATTTCCAATTCACTTGAACTTCAGCAAGAGCCTGGAACTCACTCAGGCTAGACTTCCTTTCCCACATGGGAGAGGTGTTGGCGGGGCTGGAGACAAAGGAGTCGACCCACCTTTCCCCTTCCCCTGCTACACACGAGGCATCAATGGCGCCCTTCCAGGGCAGCGGCCCCTGTCCCTGCAGGACAAGGTGCTCTACCCCGAGAGTGGGGCTGTTCTCCTCACACTGGACCGTCAGCCCAACTGAGTACAAGCAAGGGCAGGGATGGGTCCACCCTGACCTCTCCCTGTCTCGTTTTAACGACTGGACAGGGCTCAGTGAAGGCTGTGCTTACTACTGTAGAAGGTGGGCGTCACTTATTCCCCTGCTCACTGAAAGACCGAGCAAATGCATCCTGCTCTTTGCTACTCTGTGAGGCCACCAAAAATGACTCAGAAACAGAAGATCCCCCCTCCAGGCTTGTGAGCCTGGATTTGCTTAAGACGTCTGGTGAACTTGCACTGGGAATTAGTTTGAGGGCAGAGCATACACACGTGTTATCTGATGCCTGAGAGCATCTGGTGAAAGAAATTCAAAGTTTCTTTCACCTTTTGCCTTTCTGATGATACCAATATCTCTCCAACCCCCCCAAGTGAGACCTGCTGTTGAGTGCAGAGATGATCTTGTCTCCGCCCTCCCCTGACAGGAAAAAAAAAAAAAAAGACGAAAGAGTTCATTTATACTCTGACTTTCCAACACTGGAGAAACTGAGTTTTATTTCATAGGTCTAAGACAGTTTTATCATTTTTCAATAAAGTGCTGAACAAACTATATGGTTTAGCAATAGCATCCAGAACCAAGCCTTTAACCCCAACAAAGTGTGTCGTGGGGGCACACTGCTAAAACTGCAAGGCTGGAACTCGTTTATCTGAACACCTCAGCTGCTGTAAGCTTCCCCTCTCTCACGCTTTAAACTGAGGAGCATGATGAAAAAGGCAGCACATCAGCGTGTCTGCCTCTTTTAAATGAACTGGACTTTGCCAGGCTGGCAATTTTATAGCTGCCTCCCATTTTGGTTTCTCCCTTTCCCCCAGGATTTGGGATTTAGCTGAGACATTTCTACCTCAAACAAGTCACATGTCACATGTCCCACAGGCTCCTGATAACCCTTCCAGGGCTGGTGTAAAAGGCAGAAGTTACAGCTCTGGTTTTGTAATATCTTGAGTATCTCTAAGGCAAATAAGGATATTATCATCTACAGGACCCTGTACAGAACTACTCTGCATAGAACACAGGAGCTAGGTGGACAGAGACTAGTCTTTTGTAGGACATTGCTTCCTACTAACCAGTCCCTGAAGGGATTGCTTTTTTCTTTCTTAAGTTTTATACAGGAATATTGCACAGTTGGAAAAATTATCTTTTATCAAAAGAGCTGATATCAGGAGTTTAAAAAAAATCCCAAAGAAAAAGCAAGCAGGAATGGAGCTGTGTTCATACTGAGTTTAAGAGGGTCAAGCTGTTTCCCCTGCCCTGTCTTCTTCCCTACCCTTCAGGAATCCTCCCTAGTTTGTTGATTTTATACAAAAGAAACTGCCTTATAAACAAAGGCTTCTATAGTATGTATGTTTATCCTTCTTCAACATGTCTGGGAACCAAAGTCAAATTTCTGTCTGGCTTTTTGTTTCATCCCTCTTGGCAAAAGAAGTTTTTGGAGCCATAGACAGTGCTGAGTAACAAGAGTATTAATGTGCTTGACACCCTTGACTGAAATGCCATGATCATGTTTGTCAATAAAAAGCAGCTGTCTGAACCAAGCAGTGGTGTATGTTTCAGAAGAAGTTCTGTTTATTAAGAGAATCATCATAAAGTAACCCTGTACAGAACACAGGAGCTAGGTGGACAGAGACTAGTCTTTTGTAGGATATTGCTTCCTAGTAACCAGTCCTGAAGGGCTTGCTTTTTTTCTTTTTAACTTTTATACAGGGATACTGCACAGTTGGAAAAATTATCTTTATCAAAAGAGCTGATGTCAGTTTCCCATATTCTATAAATTCCAACAAAAAGCCCGAGTGTGCTCACAAAGTGCGTTTAGTCAACATTACTCCTAACATAGAGTTTCGAGGTCTCCCCTCAATTGGTAAAATAAATAAAACCTTAAAAGAGGAACACTAAAATATACATTAATACTTTGCCAATATCACACAATAAGTTAGGTTTCCATTCACCTGCTCTATGGCTCTGAGATCTACCACATCCATACTGGTTTCTCAGACTGTGTCCACTTGAAGGTTTAAAATACAGAAAATAAGCCAGCCACTGTGGCTTAGGAGTCATCTCCTTTTGAAGACAATACTGGCTTTCTGAATGGGTTTGTTGATGTGGCTTTCTGGTGTGCCAGGATCTCCTGGCAGCTTCTGTACACTTCAATCAAGCAGTCCAGCCGGGGCTTGGCACTCTGAATTCCAAAGGGGGAGAAATGCAGAGTCAAGATGAACGTTAAGAGACTGATTAGTGGTGTTGTGTCCATGCGCAACCTTGATCTCTCACCCACAACCCGGGGGGGTCTAAATGGCACAGGTGTGGGCTCAGAGAGGCAGAAGTTCAGGCCTCACAGGACATTGCTGAAAGTAATCCCTAACCAGGCCCACAAACCAGCCTATGAACTGTAGGAAGCAGGAGCTCAAAAGACAGTTTTTAATCTGTCTAAATTTCATGACCTCTGCCTAAGAGCAAGAAAGGGGAGTAACAAGGACAGACTCTCTTAGGAAGTGTCACAAGCTGTGAAGCAGCTCTCAGAGACAAGAAGGGCACTTTAATATGTAAATATTTCAAATTATTTTGTATAATGAATATAATCAAAAGAAAAGCAACAGAATGAGAAAAATGTACGTGGAAAGCATATTTAATAAAAGTTGGCTACCTAAAATACATTGTTACAATGCATAATCAATATGTAGTATCTGGTTGACTAATAGAGAAGATGGATAGCTTAAAACAAGAGAAAATACTGATAGGTAATACTTACAAGGAAATATAAAAGTCTGTTATTTAAAGAGATACAAATTTAGTAACTCTAAATTCCTTTATATACTAAACTAAAAAATAGCTAAAAGTACTGTTAGACAAGACTACATAAAAACAAGCACAAATTCCCAAAAGTAAATTTGTCTAATCTCTAGAGCCAAATCTCAAACACTATTATATTAAAATCTATGAAAGTATTCATAAGCTTTAATAAAATTTTGAGATATAATGCAAAAGAATTTTAGCTTATCTGCCTTAAATCCTTTGTGAAAAAGGCAGTGAGGCAGAATTAACTGCATATATAACTTTATATACCTATAAAATAGTTTATTGTAATTATGTTTGTATGTTTTTTCTAAGAGCAAAATAAAAAATAATCTGGATGTGGTTTTAAAAGCTAGCAAATGATGTGGCTAAATAAACTGATATTTGACATGATATAATTATTTAAAATAATAAGTATAATGGCTTTTGTAGATACATGAAAAAATATATATCAAAAAACCAATTATGGCTGATTCACATTGTTGTATGGCAGAAACCAATACAACACTAAAACAATTATCCTTCAATTAAAAAAAAAAGATGTAAAAAAAAGAGTCAACTGAAGAAAACAAGCAAGACACCACAATAGTGTGCAGCAGTCTGTATAGATCAGTAGCATCTGTGTAAAATCATATATTGGGCTTCCCTGGTCACTCAGTGGTAAAGAATCCTGCCAATGCAGGAGACCCAGGTTCCACCCCTGGGTCAGGAAGATCCCCTGGAGAAGGAACGAGGCAACCACTCCAGTATCTTTGCCTGGGTAATCCCATGGACGGAGGAGCCTAGAGGGCTATAGTCCATGGAGTCTCAAAGAGTTGGACACGACTTAGTGACTAAACAACAACAAAAATCACATACTGGCAGACTGACAGAGTCGAAGCAGGTGAATGATGATATATATGCAGAAGCTGCTATACATGTGTTATTATCTCTAAAATTTGTATAGGTTCCTAATATTTCTGAAAGTTTTATCTGCCTCAGAAAGGAATTTCTGAAATAACATTCTAATTCTTAGTAAAAATAGCCCTCAGGAATCCTCAAATATTCTTGACAACAGAAGATTACATTCCTACTGAACCTAAGAAGCAGTGGATCTGCTTAGAGAAGGAGTAAGGTAAAGGACTTCTCTAGAGAAAAAACTTAAGAAAAGTCTTCTGTGCTCACCTGGAAGAGGGGTACTACTTGGGATATCCCATGTGGTTCCACTGGATCCTTCAATAAAATGCAGAGGTAGTAAATCACCTTCTGCTGTAAGAAAAATAAACCAAATAGGAGAGATCTAGGTGAAACTTCGTTTTCTTTCTCAAAACTTTTCATAAATGAAATAACACTTGATAGCTTCTGAACTGAGAGAGAGGTATATTCTCATTCTTTAGAGGAAAAAAGACAAAACAACAACAACCAGAGATGATTCTGAAGCTGGGCTAGACAATAAAGTTGAAATGCTAACTCCCTACCCATGAAAACCTACTGCATCTCTTTAAGAATAAAGGGTGTTGTTTTCAATACAAGTTTACTTTTATGGTTTAAAGACATGCCAGCCAAAAAGAAAACACTCTTAAGTACTAGTACACGGAGCCTTCAAGTTTAATTCGTGACATCACTGACTTTAGGTATTAAGACTCAGTTTAGATCCAGACACACCCCATGGGCTGCCTCCTCTAGGGAGGCCTATAACATTTACCACTTTAAATACTTACCATGTAAATAGCCTCATTAATGATGACATCTTTCACCTTGCCCATCTCAATGAAGGTGGTGCTTTCTTTGCCTGAGGCATAGGATGAGGTCATCTGGATGCCCAGGGAATCAATGATTAACAGAGTCTCGTGATCAATCTTTACAAAATGGAGGTAACCAAGCAGGCCTAAGAGAGTGATGAAGATGGCAGCAGAGAGGATCATGCTGTTCTGAAGAGAAAGCCAGACACAGGCGGTAAGGTTAACAAGTGTTTCTCTGCTGGTTAATAAGTCAACTCAGACAATGTGGAAAAAAACCTTTGTTTTCCTGTGAGGTGAATGACTAGGAAGAACGTGCATGAAGGAAGAGGAAACTACTTTTATTTGGGCTCTGCAGTGCTAGGGAAGCATATGATAAGACACATCCAGACAACAAATGGACAGGTCTGGGGAAGAGACCCTCCCTCAGCAGGATATCCATCACACTACTTTCTGAGATTTTTCTTCGAAAATTGCAACTTAAGGACTCAGATTTTTTCTTCTCACCTTTCATCAGTAAAATATGTAGCATAATCTCAGATTGAACAGTAATAAAATGCTTAGCACGGTGCAGCAGATAATACTCAACAGCCACTCCTGCTTCCTAATACTCCCGCCAACAACTGGTTCAGAAATGGGCCAATGACACAACTCTAGCCAATGACATATAAGGGGAAGTCTGCTGGAGGGCTTTCTAGAAAACTAAGTCCATCTCAAGAAAGAGATCTAAGGAAGAGAAGGCCCCTTAATCCTGAAGTTTTGATGCCCAGAACTACATGGCCTCTGCTGTGTAGAAAGCTAGGTTAAGGACAGGTAAAGGCTAGAAGATTGGTAAGATAAAAAACACCTAAATCAACTGAGCTTCTTATGCCCTCTGATTTTGTTAAATAATAAAGATCTTACTATTCAGGGCCCTTTTGGTTGCTTTGGGTTATGACCGACTGATGTGTTAAGGCTGACTGACTAGCTGAAATGACTAAGAACTGTGTTAAGGGCCACCAAAATGGTATTATTTCTTTGATTCTAAGACACATTTACAACCTTTTAACATTTCTGAAGTTGACGTGTGTTTTTCTATCAAGGTATGTTTGTTTTCCTTTTTTTTTTTCCCCCAAAAGGCTATTTAGAAGGAAGGCACAGGGAAAAAAATCATTGGTGACCTATAATCACAAGGGATTCACTAATTTATGGCTGTCATTCCTTGAGGGCAGGAGGTGTTTTACTAATCTTTGTTACTGAAAAGATACCCTCTTTGAGCTAACTCTTGTCAGACTCTGTTGAACAATGCAGGCCTTGTTGGCCAAGTTGTAGCAAGACTCTTGCTAAGTGAGTTTAGAGAAGACGCTCACCTTGGTTATCTGATCACCCTGGCCTGCCTTCAGCAAGAATCCTGTCAAATCAATTTAGCCAGAATCCCCCATTTACTCACGTTTCCTTTCAGTAATTTTGCATCCATTGACCACTGACCCTGCTCTTTGGCTATAAATTTCTACTGGTCCCTGCTGTATTCAGAATTGAACCCAACCTTCAATACTGAGGTCTCTCTTCTCCCATTGCAATAGTTTCTGAATGAAATCTGTTTTTATTGCTTTAACTACTGACCAGCTCTGGTACTTCTTTCTACATAACACATAGTTAAGAGTTAGATAAGAAGTCTAGAAACTATTTGGACCTGTCATCTGCTTTTGTCTGGTCCACATTAAGCTAAGACTGTTTTTGTGGGGGTTTTTTTTAACATTTTTTGAAGGGTTGATAAAGAAAATGAAACAAGAATATGAGACAGAGACCTGCAAAGCCTAAAATATTTACTATTTGGCCTTTTCAAGAAAACGTTTGCTGACCTCTGCACTAGATAATTATTTATTAGTTAACAAATGGAGGATGGAGAAATCTATGTGCTGGGTCTTGATGGGCCCAGAAATACTTACATTGAGTTAATTAAATGTCTAGTACCTAGTACAGTTTCTTGTATATAGTGTGAACTGAATAAGCATTATGGAAGAATGGAGAGAGAAAAACTTTAGTTCTGGCCCTTACAGACTTATTAGAGGCAAGATTAAAATATATAAAATATTTTTGGAGAATACTATAATGTAGAAGTGACTAAAACAGGATTAACAGAGAAAGAGAAAAAGCAAGAAAGAGACAGTTTAATTAAAGCACAAAGGAATATCCTATGAAGACTTCTAAGGAAGTAGGATTTAACTGGTGCTGAGGAGGTGGTGATTATTGACAGATATACTTAGCTGAGAAAAGGACAAGGGAAGAACATTCTAGGTTGGAATAAGTAAGGTAAAAACCTAGAATTTTAATAGAACTGTGAATTCAAAAACTGGGAGGAAAGAAGGAATGAAGAACAGTATATACTTAGGGGATTTTAATATTATTTTTAAATTTTTTATTTTATTTTGGAGTATAGTTGATTTATAGTGTGTTAGTTTCAGGTATATAGCAGAGTGATTCGTTTATACATATTCATATATCTTCACATTTTGAAATTCTTTTCCTATTGAGGTTATTAACAAAATATTAAGTAGAGTTCCCAGTACTACACAGTAGGTCCTTGTTAGTTACCTATTTTAAATACAGTAGTGTGTGTATATCAATCCCAAACTTCCAATTTATCCCTCCTCCTTTCTTTCCCCTATGGTAACCATAAGTTTGTTTTCTAAGTCTGTGAGTCTATTTTGTAGGTAAGTTCATTTGCTTACTTAGGGGAGTCTGACCCATATCAGCTTTCCTATAATCACTGCCCAAAACTTTATTACCCCTACATTTTTTATACTTAATTTTTCTTTCTGAAATTCTAACAATTCAATATTGGTTTGGATTGAAGTAAAGCCACATGTTTTAATGAATTCCTCCAACAGATTTCTTCTTATCTTAGCTGAGATTCATTACTCTGATTAATAGTTTTGAGTAGGAGGAAAAATAGAAATTCTGGTACTCAGAGCCCTTAAGAAGTGCTGCAATGGAGTTTAAAGGAAGATAAGGTTACTTTTGGTTCAGTCACTCAGTCATGTCCGACTCTTGGCGACCCCATGAACCGCAGCACGCCAGGCCTCCCTGTCCATCACCAACTCCCGGAGCCCACCCAAACTCATGTTCATTGAGTCGGTGATGCCACCCAACCATCTCATCCTCTGTCGTCCCCTTCTCCTGCCCTCAATCTTTCCCAGCATCAGGGTCTTTTCAAATGAGTCAGCTCTTCGCATCAGGTGGCCAAAGTATTGGAGTTTCAGCTTCAGCTTAGCCCTGGACATTGATGAGGGTAAGTAGGATATACAAGGATGAGAGAGATAAGTACAAAAGGGAGCTGGTGTAAAACAAACCTCCTATTTAAAAATTCTGCTAAGCAAGCCATCGGACAGCCTTGGGTTTGAAGCCCCGGTAAGCCATTTACTAGTTTTATCACTTCAGATAAGTTACTACTCTTTTTGAGTCTCGGTTTTCTTCTAAGGCTGAAATGAGGCATTCAGTAAAGCAGCTGGCACTCAGAGGGCATTTAATAAATATCTGTTCCCTCCTCCTCACATGACTATGTGGACAGAACTCAGGCTAGTACTGAAATTCAACTGTATTATATATTAAAATTTTTAGGGGGCAGGAGGAAGAACTGTCCTGGCATTTCAACCAGTTCAACTGACTTATGAACTTTTAGATACAACTGATAGAAATTAGGGTCTTAATTTTGCATGTATCTATACTAAATTACCATGCTCTGAAATATGCTCCAGTGGGTTTTTCAAAAAGCTAATGGGGGACTTCCCTGGTGGTCCAGTGGTTAAGAATCCAGCTTGCAGTGCAGTGGAGGGGGGTTGGATCCCTGATGGGTGAACTAGGATCCTACAGGCCATGGAGCAATTACAATAAGCAGGCAGCTCCAACTACCTGCCACATCCAAAATTTAAAAAAAAAAAAAATTCTTTTTTTTTTAAGAAAAACTAATAGATGCAGTATTGAAAACAATACCCAAAGTACAGAAATAAATAGCCTTGCTGTACTTGGCTCTGGTCAGATCACTCCTGGAATAAAAATATGCCACTCAGGACACTACATATGAGACTAAGTTAAAAATGAAAACGGCGATTAGGATGAGTCCTTTTATTTGAGAGTTGTCACAATGCTGCTCCATACGAACCTCACAATGCCATGACGCTGGCATAGCAGGTATCAATTCCATTTTAGAGGTGTGAAAACGAAACCTGAGAAAACACTGGTGGGAATGAATCTGGAAATTAAGCACAGAAACCACCCATCTCTGAAATCTCACAGTGCTTTAGAAAATACTTGGAAGTGGGGTAGTGATTGTGGGGTGGGGGAGGTTAGACTGCCCTGAAAAAGAGAGATTCTTAACCTGCGTGTGAGAAATGTGAAGGCAAAGACAGTTTCTCGAAGACTGTAAAAGGTATTGTCAGCAGTGATTCCTGTGACGAGTGGAAGTGATGGGTGAGGACGATCCATCCACCTGGTTCTCTTAACTCTTGGAACTGAACTACCGTGAGCCTGTACTACACAGAGCACATGGAAGTTAACGTTTTAGGCCGTCGAGCAAGGACGAGATGTATGCTGAATGGAACCACAGGGCAGAGAGCAGCGACCGCGGAGCGGGGATAAAGTCCAAGAGCGCAAAGTTCACTCAACGTTAAGGAAAGAAGAGAGCTGTCCAGCAGCGGAATGGCGTCCCCTGAACCAGCGAGTTTCTGCCCTCCAGGCCGCACGCCTGCAGGAGGGTCCGGCGAGAGCTCTGGGCTCGAGCCTAAGACCCCAAAGATCCTTCCAAACCCGAGCCCCCGACTCCGAGGCCGGCCTTACCTCACAGAGCGTGAAGAGTCCGTAGGCCGCCAGCCACACGGTGCAGGTGACAGCGGTGAGCGAGCGCAACGAGATCCGAGGGCAGCTGAGGCAGAACTCTAGGCAGGAAGGGGAGTAGTATCGGCGGTGCAAGGCCAGACGGCCGCCGCAGATATCTGAGAAGCTCCGCTCGTCCTCCATGGCCGGTTCGCCGGCCCCAGGCCCAGCCATGCCGCGCCGCTCTAGCGCGCCCCCCAGCGTCCTCTCGCTGGTTCTGGACTCACTTCCCCACCGCGGAGTTGGCCACGCCCCTCCTCTGGCGGCGCGCAGCCGCAGTTCGGCGCGGACGGCGGCGAAGGCTCTTGAGGGGTTGTCTCTTCACGCCTTTCGCGGCCAGGATTCTAAGTGTATATACCACCGAGATTCGTAGGGGGTGCCAGCGCCTGAGCGGACAGATGAAAACCATTATTAACGTGCTTTCCACTCGACAAACTGATTTTTATTTAAAAGCTAGAGTATGTCCCCCAGGAGGCAGTCAGCAGGTATTCGTTCATACCATTCATTTATTCATTCATTTCGGTGCCAGGCCATTTTAAGTGCTGAAGGTACAGAGGTGAACAGGATCGACAAGGTCCCTGGCTTCAAGCAGCTCCCTTCCTATTGAGAAACAATAAAGAAATAATTACAGAGAGTGCTGTTGCAGTAATATGACCTGCAGGGGTGGCTTGGGAGTCAGGAAAGTCTCAGAGAAAATAAACCAGAGCTGCAAGGATATGGAGCCAGAGTAGTCTCTGGGAACTCTGGAGGAGGAATTTGCCTGGAAGGAAGACCTTGGAGGAATCAATAGGTCAGAGAGGCGAATGCGTGGGAAATGCAGTTGGAAGTTGGGGAAGTAGGGAGGGGTCAGAACCAGGAGAGTCTGGTAAGGAGATTGGATTTCATTGCCTATTTTTCTCTCCCAGACCACTAAGTGGAGCAGTGAGTAGGCGGACACGTCCTGGCTGGAAGGGTTAGCAAGAGTGGAGGATGCAGAAGGTATGGATAATAAAATTATTAAACTCATGAGTAATAGAGACCTGTGGTGTGGATTCCCTTTTCTTTTTTACTTGGGATGTGGCCCAAGAGTGCCTGTGTGGCCCATTAAAAGAATTATGGCGCTTCAGCCCTGGGGCACCATTGTGTATTAAAGAATTTGTGTATAAAGAGAATGGTATAAAGGTCTCATAAACTTGTGTCCTGATGAAAGTCAGGTTCAGTTTCTCCATCTTCATCCAGGATTTTGTTTTCCTTTTTCTTCAAGCATTATTTTGTTTTTCCAATTTTATCTCTGTATAGTTAATCTTACCAAGCAATACACCCCTTTCATTTTTGTAAATATCATGTTATGTCTTTTATAATGGTAAAAGTGATGTTTGCTTATTATGAAAAATTTGAACAATACAGAAAAGAAGAGAGGCTTCCCTGGTAGTCCAGTGGCTAAGACTCTGTGATCCCAATGCAGAGGGCCTGGCTTCCATCCCTGGTCAGGGAACTAGATCCCACATGCCACAGCTAAAGATCCTGCATGTCGCAATGGATTGAAGATTATGTATGTGTACAACTAAGACCCAGTTTAGTCCATTAAATTAAAAAAAAATATTGTCACCATACATGGTTATAAAAAAATAAGAAAAATTTAAACCATCCATATTTCCACTACTCAGAGATAAACACGGTCAGTGTTTTGGGGAACCACTAGTCCTAGAGTTCTTAACTTGCACACCATAGATAAAATCAGAGTTTTATCTTTATTTTCTTAACTTCTGATTGAAATTTAACATTTCTTTTGATTGTGAATTAGGCAACAAACCAATTAGTATTAGTAATACTTGTGATTTTTGTCACTGATAGAAACCACAGATATTTTCATCTGATAATATTCTCAAAATGTCATTTCCACTCATTCCTTCAAAATTTCTACAGTAATTATTAGACCAATTACTAGATCTCCTTATTTAATGTGTCAACAGAGACACATATTACCATAAAACATTTAAAAAAATATTCTGATAACTATTTTAATTCACTTTTGTTTGAAATTCTATGTGTTCATTTACAAACATTATTGTGATAAGGGGTCCATTAGGTTTACTAGATTTACAAATTATCTGTGAACAAAAAATGTGAAGAACCTGTGTAGGCTCAGAAGTTTCACCACTCTAGAGTCATAGAAAAAATACATCTAAGACACCTAAATGTATTTAAAGTACTTAATTTTTTGAATATTTAAATTATTATATTAAATATTAAATTCTAGGGACAAATAATATGGTAATGTAATTCCACAATCTTTATAATCACTTTGCTCTATCAGATCATCTTCTTTTTTTTTTTTTTATATTTACACATATTTATTTTCATTGACATATAGTTGATTTACAATGTTATGTTAGTTTCAGGTATATAGCATAGTGATTCAATTTTTCCATAAATCATACTCCATTTAAAGTTATTACAAAATAATGGCTATATTTCCCTATGCTGTAAGTATATCTTTGTTACTTAATGTATTTTACACATAGTAGTTTCTCTTAACCCCAAACCCCTACTTGCCCTTCCCCACCGACTTCTCCCCAGCTGGTAACCACTAGTTTGTTTTCTATATCTGTGAGTCTGTTTCTGTTTAATTATATATATTTGTTTGTTTTAGATTTCATGTGTCAGTGATTTTAACATTGAGTATTTGTTTTTCTATGTCTGACTTATTCAACTAAACATACTACTCTAGCCATTTGCCTTTTATTCAATAAGGTAAATGCTATGAAATAAGGTAGATAAGCTCGGTGGCTAGTTCCTGGAAATCAGAGAATTTTTAGAATTTCTTGCATGTTCATCTGTCCTAGGAGGTCTTTATGGTTGAGCCAATGGTATATGAAGCGGGTGGTGGAGCTCAACAGTCGTTATAGAAAGTCTATAAAGTAGATTCTTATTTGGGGGAAAATTATTTCAGATAATTAATGCATATTAAAGTAAGCCCTACTTACTAAAGTCATCCTATGACTCAACGATTCTACCTGTATTTATGTACCCAACAGAAATGACACTGTGTATCTGTTATAAGACATGGATGAGAATATAACATGAAGTCTAGTGTATTCATGACAGGTGACCAATAGTGTTAATTAGTCATTAGAAAATAGACCACTAACTATAATTGTTATTACCTTAAACTACAAATTATGCTTTCTAGTTTTACAGCTATATTATACTTTACTTATTGTTGTATGTCATATGCTGCTGCTGCTGCTGCTGAGTCGCGTCAGTCATGTCCGACTCTGTGCGACCCTATTGATGGCAGCCCATCAGGCTCCGCCATCCCTGGGATTCTCCAGGCAAGAGTACTGGAGTGGGTTGCCATTGCCTTCTCCAGTTATATGTCACAGGATAGCTAATTTTAAAGTCAGCTCCAGAAGAGAAATCTATGATTTCAGGAGTAAAATCTATGTGTTCACCACTGTACTTCTATGCCTACATGGATGCTTAGCATTTACTAAGTATTATGTAAGTATTTGTTGAGTGGACATAATTAGAGTTAAAAAATCATATTTTAGATTAGTTTTCGGGTTGCGTTTTTGTTGTTTTTTCTTCTTTTTTTTTTTTTTTTTTTTTTTCCCTTTTTTTTTTTTCAGTTTTTTCTTAGATTTTGTCATCTTGCTGCCTGATTCTATTACTAATTAAAACATTCTAGACATAGCTTATGTTTATTTAGTTCTATTCCTGGGTATTAGGATACATATTCTTATATCTTAGTGAAATTATTCCACTTATAGAGGTATACAATATATATGTTAATATAAGGAAAGGAGAGTTGGATGTGAATGAGTTTATATATATATATATATATTTTAGCTCTCAATTTTGGACTTCAAAGTATTCATCAGCCTCAAAGTTCGGTGGAGGGGACTTCCCTGGCAGTTCAGAGGCTGAGACTGTGCTCCGAATGCAGTGGGTCCAGGTTCAATCCCTGGTCAGAGATCTAGAACCCACATGCTGCAACTAAGAGTTTATGTGCCATAACTAAGATCTGGTGCTGCCAAATAAATAAATAGAACTAAATAAATAAAAAATTTAAAAAAAAAAAAGGTCAATGGAATATAACAGCAAGGAAGGGCGGGCTGACAAAAAGAATTCAAACTTAGCAATTGGCAAGTTTCTCCATGGAGTTTTATTAATGATATCTTTTTGCAGGGTCACTAAAAGAGTCTCGTAACTAATTCCCTAGTGAATTTAGTTGTGGAGAAGCAGAGAAAGGAAGTATGAGAAACACATACTCTGTGTATGTCAAGGCACTAACTGCTACGAAAATAAAATGTCAGTAGCATAACAATAAATGTCGGTTTCTTGTCTGTCTATAGTTCATTTAAGTGCTTCTGGTCAAATGATTCGTCATTCTGCCTAGTGGTAACTCTGAGACCCAGACACCTTCTATTTAGCGGCTTCACAATCCCTTGGGGCTTCCTCATGTTTCCTTCCATTGGATCTTCTGCATCTAACAGATGAGGGGGCAAGCATAGAGGATCATTCCTGGGAGGGTTTTATGGCCAAGTCTTCGACCGGCAGAACTCATAAACATGGATATACGGAACTTCAAAGGAGGCCGGGAAACACTGTCTATCAGTATGCCAAGTGGTGAAAGAAAAATGATTCGGTGAACGACTGGCCAGTCTTCGCTACACTTTCCAAAGAGTTCTGGCTACAAGAACTAGAAAATATATTTGAGTGAATTGAGCAGTGTGGTGACAGGAATAATCTGACCTACTTTTGATAAAACAGGTACTTACTTCAATTGCTGAAGTTGTTCTTGGAAGCTGAGTGTTTATGAATAGTAATAAAAATATCTAGCCAAAGAATTCAGATAACTTTTTATTTTTATGGCTTATGCTAGATTCCTTTTTTGTGTGTGTGGCTGCGATGGATCTTCATTGTGACACTGGGACGCTCTCTAGTTGTGGAGAATAGGCTGTCAAGTGTGTGGACGCAGTTGTTGCAGCATGTGGGATCTTAGTTCCCTGATCAGAGATTAAACCTGCATCCTCTGCATTGGAAAGCGGATTCCCAACCACTGGACCACATGCTAGATTTGGATTTCTAGGGAAATCCACATGCTAGATTCTTAAAACCTTTCTATAGAGCTTTCTCTTAGCATTTACACTTATCAATGGCATAGTTTTTCTAAGAATACTGTCTTATTCTATAGTTTTTATTGTTTATCTTCTTATGATATAACATTAATGATTGTTGCTA